GCGTAACCAGCTCTCCTTGTCCCATTCTGTGTGAAGCCGCTTCCATCAGTAACCCGCTCCACAGCGGGGCTGCACAGGGGCTCCTCCCTGAGATCTGGGCGGTGAGAGTGCACTTGCTCCATGGGCTCCACACAGGAGGCAATAAGGGATTCTTGGGATCGGGATCTGATATTGGGGTGGCCGGATGTAAAACTTGAGAAACTGTAAGAGTGCTGTCTGGGGAACCAAGTAGGAGGGCTTGGTGATCAAGTACTCGCCCACCTGTCGGCCAGTGGTGTCCGTCTGTCTCAAGACTCCCTGTACCTGGTTGGGGGTTAGAACTTCCAGTGGCTGTCCCGGGGCGCTATTGCCACATCTACTAACACAGCAGTGGCAGCTACTGTACTAAGACATCCTGGCCACCCAGTTGCCACCTGACCAAGGGACCTGCTGGCTGCACTGAGTCCATGAAGCTCTCAGACCTGCTCATTCACAATGATTTCTCCCGAGTTTCCGGGCCTTACTTAACACTTGGGTCGCCCTTCCCCCATCACTGTCTCCCACATCACCCATCACAGCAGAGTCGGAGCCTCAGGGTAGTCAGATCTCTGGAACTGGGTGGGAGCACAGCCTTCCTCACTGGAGGGAACCTTCACTCAGAACGGGCCTCCCCATAGGATGGGGCTCCCTCACTTGCCCCAGACCTACCATTGTGCGAAGGGTCCTGGCCTGGCTCTGTACTGAACCTCTGGGTTTCCTGTGGAGCCAGCAGGGGCCAGAGCAGCCTAGCTCCAGGCTGGGAAGAGCCCTTCCCTTCTCCCCCGGTGCCTTGGGAAGTAACACCGCTGTAACTCAAGAGCCAACTTGGGAGAACCATTTCTTAGAATCTGGCCTGCCTCCCCTCCCTGGCCCAACTGATGGTCCGCCCCAGTCGTCAGGGACCTGTTTACATAGAGATGGAACACCCCCAGAGTTCTCAGCGGTCAGTTGTGGCCCAGAGGGCCCTGGCCTCAGAGGCAGTGCTGTGGGCCCTGGCAGCCATGGGGGGCCTGTTCCCTGCCCCCAGGCCCACATCCCCACTGATGCTGGAGTGGCTGTGGGGCGCTCTGCTACTGGTTTGGGAAAGCCTGACTCTGGTGTTTCCCTGGTGTCTGTGCTGGGGCTGGTGTTTCTACTACGGAGAAGGTATATGTCCCAAAGTGGGGAGATAACAGGCGAGGCGTGCTCTTCCCACGACGAAGACTCTGTACAACAAACCGAGAGCGCTGGACCCATGACCCAGGCCCATGGAGCCGGCAGGCCGCCCAGCGGGGAGGCCAGCCCTGCCTTCTTACAGACTTTGTGCTTCTCATCCCTGAACGCAACCTGAGTAAGTCATGATTTCAGGGCACTGTTGACTTTATGGAAAAGGCTCAGAAGAATCCGCCTCCTGAAATCTCCCAAGTGACCGGTGAGAAAACAAGCGTCCAAGTACCTAAGAGGACTTGGAAGCAGCTTCAGCAGAGACGGAGGAATGACCTGAAGGAAAACCCTGTCTCCACAAACTCAGGAGGTGCTGGCCCAAGATATCACCACATGGAAGCAGCGAGTTGAAGAGGAGGAGGGGAAAGAAAGGCTGGTGGGTGTGAACGTGCGGAGAGAGCGGGCCATGGACGACAAGGTCACCAAGCTAAAGTCCCTGACTGAGCGTCTGCTGAGGGCCACCCCCCAGCCCGGGATCCTGGGACACGGTGGGGCGGACGGCTATGCCAGAGGCCAGCAGGGCGTGGGGACAGCACACAGCCCCCCATCCATCCCTCAGCCAGAAGGGGACCTCAGGTTGTCCGGGGTGACATCAGACTGTCCCATCCAGATCCTGAGCAGGAGCCTCAAGGAAGAGCCAGATAAGTGGGGGAAGAAAAGTGGATGAGTGCACAGCTGGCGGGACAAATAGCCAGTCTACAGGAGGGGGAAGCAGGTCTGTGGCAAGAGAGCGCCCAGCTCGACAGTGAGATTCAGCAGCTGCACCAGAGCCACCAGATGCTGCCCGCAGTCCACGTGCATCACCTGACTCAGCTTCAGGACACGTGGCGCCAGGACAAAGCATGCTGCTCAGAAGTGGAGAGGAAGCTGGCCGCCGCGAGCAGACAGGTAACCTCCATGCAGCTATTCTGCAGTGTCTACAAGCAGATGGCCGAGGCCCTGGGCCAACGCCGGGAGGAAACCCACCCCCCTACCATCAGAAGAGCCTCTTCATGGAGAAGAGAGCCCAGAAGAGCTGGATGGCAGCCGTGGGGACGGACAGAAAGCTCAAGGAGCTCAGAGAAGACAGCCAGCACCACAGGCAGGCGCTGCGGGTCCAGGGCAACCCCTGGCCCTTCCCGCGGGGCCCTGGTGCTCCGGCTGCCCTGGCCGCCACCACCAGTGGGCCAGAGTTGGGGGCTCCAGGAACCAGGCCTCCAGCAAGGACACGGTCTACCCGTGAGGGCTCAGGGCTCCAGGGTCACCCTCAGTTTTCTGTGGAAGCACAAGAGCCTCTAATCGGAAACCTTCTCCCACAAGCCCTTCTGATGCAGAGCCCCTGGGATGCAGCCCGCACGTGCACTGCGGACCAGAGGTGGACAACAGTCTTCTGCTTCGATTCCATGGCACCTGCGGTGTAAGAAGACGCTGAGACTCAGGACACAACATGAGACATGAAGCTGCTGTGTCTGCAAGGGGCTCAGGGAAGACGGCGCAGCAGGAGGCCAAGGCAGGAGGGCGTCGTTCTGGGCCCCCCTGGGAGGCTCTGACCCACTTTTTTGCAGGCGGGGCCTAGAGATCTGTATTTTCTCCAGTTCCCGTGTGGGTTCTGTGTCCAGCAGGGATGGGGATACTGCCCAGGGCGTTGGTGTGGTTGTCCACTGATTCAGCGTTGGGGCCCTGTCTTTCCATGGCCCGTGTTCCAGACATTACAGTTTTTTCATTAAAAAGATTTACTTCTAGAACACCTTTGGGTACACAGCCTAATCGACTTAACAGTACTGAGAGTTCGCATCTATACCCAGTTTTTACACACTCAAAACTTTCAACACCGTTAGAGGTGGCACATTTGTAACATCAGTGACTTACACGTCACCACCGCCCTGAGTTCACAGTCATACCCGGCAGGGCTCACTCTTGCTGCAGTGACTTCCGTGTGTTTGGACAGAGGCACAGCGACCCGTGCGGGTGGAGAGAGGTTCTGCTGTCAGAGGAGCTGCCAGGTGTCCTCCCACAAGCCACGTCCACCGGGAAGAGCCTTCTGTGCTGCTGCCTGTCCCCTCACCACATGGGCTCACAGAGTTGTTCACTATGGGGCGTTTAGTATCAGGCCACAACCTGCCGGCTCATGGAGAAGGTTCCAAGGGCAGCACTGCGCATCTCCCTTTGCAAGGGTGCTTGGACAGTGTGGCCCTTTGCGCCCCAGCAGCGCCCTGTGGGCTCGCGGAGGAGGCTGCTCCGGCTGCTTGCTCCAGCCCTGCCCCTCGTGCTCGCCACAGTGCAGCTCTCCAGGTGGACCCAGGCTCTTTTGTGCACACTCCCATCCCTTCCAAGGCTGCTTCTGCGCAGTCAATCCCAGGTCTCTCCCCGGATCCGTCCTCTGAAGCCCGAGCTCCAGCACCCCATCCCAGCCCACTCTGCTGGCTTACGCTTCGGGTTAGGGATCACAGAGACCTTCTGTGACGACTTCTCTCTGTCCTGCCTGCCAAGCGGCTGCTGCTTTCTCCTGGGAGCCTCCGAGGCTCCCTCTGTCCCCGATGACCTCCCCGCTGCGGCGGGGCTTCCCAGGGGGAGGGCGCTTTTCCTCCTTGGCCGCTCCCGCTCCCTTCCCCTTCCCCGGGGAGGAGGTCCTGTCCCAGTTCCCTTTTTCTTTTTTTAACTCCTACCCAGTTTTGGGAAGATTTTCCTTGTAGTCCCTCTTGTACCATACTTCCTGTCAGAGCTCAGCAGGCATTCTCTGAGAACTGTTACACACGCAGATGTGCTTCTGATATATTTGTGGGAGACAGTGAGCCCCATGTCCTTCTATTCCACCATCTGGAAGCCCCTCCCTGACACCAACTTCTAAATTGAATTCTTATTAAATACTGTTTCCATGTTCTCCACTTTATAAGTAGATGAACTGAAATTTTTATGACTTGTGATTCTCACAAGGAACCCTCTAATACCTAACAAAATGAACCTAAACATCGGAATCTAAAGGTCATTTTTTATGGGTGTGATTCTCATTATGTTTCCCCTAAGGGTATTCTCTCTTTTAAAAATACCAAAAAAATGGACAATCTGCCAACTAACCAGAATAACACTACCATTTTTAAATGATACTCAATTCTGGATATTTTGGAAATGTCTGCACTATAAACAAAATTTACATCTTGGAACATACACGTTTTACTTTCTACAGCAATAAACAAAGACAGCTAATCAGCAGAAAAGGGAGTTTGGTCCTGTGCAGACATGAATCTCCTTTAGCAAATAGCAGGATGGTGCAGAAGGTAAAAATAAAAAAGGAATTTATGGTAAAAATTTTAAAAAGGAATATATGGCCTTTTAGTTAAAAAGATCTAAATTCTAATCAATGCTCCCTGACTTACTATTTCTGTAATTCTGAACAAAATTTTTGAACAAGTTTATTTAACCACTCTGTTATGGGTGTGGTAGAATAACTTAGCTAGGAGCCAGACCTTGCTGTATCGTGCCTCATTTATGCTTTTTACCAGCTGAAGGACTGTGGCAACCCTGCCCGGAGCAAGCCTGCTGGCACCAATTTTCCAACAGCAGTTGCTCAGTCTGTATCTGGGAGACTTTCTAGTAAAGCTCGCTCTCTCTCAAACTGCCTCATTGTCACTGTATTTCTCGTGGTGATCTGGGACCAGTGATCTTGATGATACCACTGCAGAAAGCTTACAACTCACTGAAAGCTCAGATGGTGGTTAAGTGTTCTCTAGTAATAACATATTTTAAAACTCAGGTATGTACATGTTTTAAGACATAATGCACCTGCGCAAGAGACCACTGGATCATGTAAACATAATCTTTATATGCACTGGGAAACCAAAGCATTCCTGTGACCAGCTTCCCTGCAGTAGCTGCTTTACCGCGGCAATCTAGAACTGAACCCACGATGTCCCCAAGGTCTGCCTGTAGGCCACACACAGAGCAGAGAAGGAGGCCACGGGACCCACAGGCCGTAAGGCTGCAAGCAGGCTGCAGCAATGTTTGGGGAGAGGTCTCTGACTATGTGACGGAAGAGTCAGTACTTAACTCACTACAGAGACAAGATCTTAACTACAACAATAAACTGGGTAAACATTTTGAACACAACTGATGGTAAGTTGGAGGTATCTGAATAGGAAACAGTCTCTGCCCTGGTGTGGATTCTGGAAGCCCTTTCAGCCCCGCAAAGGTTCTCCCCTATTATCAGAGCAGGAGGACGTGGACAGAATAAGGTTGGGCAGCAGACACCCAATCGAGCACAAGCCTGCACACAGAATGTGCTCTCAGGAGGTCACTGCTTGGGGATGAAGCAGCGCTCAGGGAGCCAGGACTCAAAGTAGGATCCTCGTTTCATTTTGACCTGCTTGGTTTGTAGTAAAACTTCAGTTCCCATCTCCTGTCCCAGCGGGGATCTGTCATAATGCGGTCACTGCGCTAGCCACTCACCGGTATTAACATGCAGTACCTTCCAGCCACGTCATGGGCCGCGCCAGCATACTGCTTCCTGCGCCACTGATACAACAGGGGACGGCGCTCAGCCTTCTTTTCTTCCCTCGATGAAGTCTTGCCTGATTTAACAACAGCAGCGACTGCCTACAGAGATGAGACATCACAAGTCCAAAAACTTAAATCTGTTTTAGTCTAATTAAAAATAACAATACATCTTTATACAGACAGGTGACTTAATGTAAAAATCTTTAGTTAGTAGCCAACACTTATCTTTATTTTATAAATTAATAAATATAGGCAGAGAGAAATCAGAAGACAATCTCAATAGAAAAAGATACTAAGTAGACCCAAGAACTCAAACGGTCTTTGTATGAAGAGCTTACTAGAATCTAGAAAAGCTTCCTATTAAAACTATCCTAGACTTCTTAGTTGCTTTGTAGCTTCAATGTTTCCTGCAAAGGACTGGCAAGTACAGTCTGCCCTCCGTATCCACCGCGGGTTCCACACCCACAGGTTCGACGAGCCTCAGATCAAAAGTATTGGGGGAAAAAAATCCAGAAATTTCCCAAAAGCAAAACTTGAATTTACTGCACACGCGCAACTATTTACCTAGCATTTATATTAAGCATTACATGCAATCTAGAGATGATTTAAAATACAGGGGAGGGTGTGTGCAGGTTATATGCAAATACTACACCACTTTACATAAGGAACCTTAACACCCCAGGATTCTGGTATCGGAGAGGATTCCTGGAACCAATCCCCAGCGGTGCTGAGGGGTGACTGCACATCTTCCAAGGCTGGAGGAACTGACTTTATTCATGAAAGGCTAAGAAATGATATGTATTGCAGGATTCTAGTTAGAACAAAAGAAGAACATCACATCTGTAATGATTATGTGGCAAAGACATTAACTGTTTCTTCATATCCTCTGCCCTGTCTATTTTTGCTAACAACGCTCTAACTTTAAGCTGGGCATCTGGCCTCAGAGATACAGACAGCCAGACGCAGTCATCTGACTGAGGTCTGGAAGTGGAACGTGAGCAGAAGGGAGGTGGGCAACTTCCAGTCAGCCTTAAAAAGGAAAGTGCTCACCCTCCACCCCCTCACCACCCTGGGGGCTTTGGTCATACAGAGAAGGGCATGGCCCTAAATAAGGTGGAGCAAGACAGAACAATCGTATTTGCCTGGACTGCCCAGCTGAGCTGTTCAGAGACCCCGTGAAAAGAGAAATAAACATTCTATCTTTCTGAAGCTGCTGTTGTTTGGTTCTAGTAAAAACGGCTGAATTAATACAGACCTAATTAAAAAAAAATCCCTGATAGGAAAAAAAGAAAAAGGGGCTGTTAATGAATCTGATGAGATGCCGTAGGAAATTACTCCCACCTAGAAGCAGAATCCAGCCACTCCTATAACTCTGTGCAAGCAGCCAGGGGGATGGGGCAGGACGCCGCAGGCGGCAGGATCCCACAGTACCTCTCTGACAGCTGACTCACACAGGGCGCCGGGACCCATCTCCAAGTTCACGTGGAGTAAGGCGTACAGGTAACCCGCCTGTCCATAGAGCAGCTCGCCGGGAAGGTCTGAATCCCGGCAGACGATGGTTCTCTGGAGCTGCAAAAGTCAACCCAACAAGAAAAATTCTGTTTTCCCAGAGAATGTCTAAAATAACTGTTCCTGAAGCTACAAGTAACCCTATCACTTTGGAAGTTATCTATTATTTACTTTTAATTTAAATCTTATTTTTAAAATACAAAAAAAAAACCCATGGAAAACAATAAAAACTTCCCCACTACAAAATCAAATTTCTCTCAGATCTCAAAATTAACAATAAAAAATTCTTCGTTTAAAAGTTCTACATTTTTATTTAAAATGTGTAAGATATATACATCTGAACCATGTAAGGTGCTCCAAACTATGTAAGACACTCAATTTTGAAATTCAGAAATACAAGGAAGTGCTTTCAATCTTAAGGAAAATGTTACCAAAATGTAGCCAATGTTTGGAAATTAGCTTGAATCATCTCATCGTAAACAAACATTAACTGATTGGCGCCTGCCAAATACGCTTCCAGACCATGGCAGTGCGCCCTGATTTCTGCTGCTTCAAGAGAATATGAACCAACAGGTGCAATAAAAGTTCACAATCTCTAATTGTTTCATAGACAATCATGGTGCATCGAAGGTGTACAAGCTAATTTTCACGCATTGAAGGCAACCAAAAACGATTTAGGAGAAACCATGTTTAGTCCCCCCTCAGATCAAGGCAAACACATGCTAGGACAGAAAGGGAGCATGTGATCTAGATTAATACACAAACTCCTCGCTTCTTGCAGAGACCTGTTTGCAAGAGTAGATGAATTAAAAACTAATTTTGTTTTTTAATCTCTTTCTACAGCAAGACTGAGAAACTGGAGAAAGTACTTTCAGCTTTAATAACTCAATTTGTGATGCACCCCTAGGACTCGTAATCACTTTTAAGTTATGATGTACCACAGCTCGGAAGGCAAAGGGCCCAGCATCTCCACAGAGGAAAGTGCAGCTCCAGCTGTGCAGATTCCAAAGTGTTCTCTTCCGTGGTCCAGGGATCGCAGCAGACAGGTCTGGTCACAGGCGACCCGGTACAGCTGCAGGCACAAAAGGGCTATGCCTGGAGGATTCGCCCGCCCCAAAAGAAAAGCATTACTGCCTTTCCTTTTTACCTTCAGGACATTATTTTATGATTACATGAAAAGCCTACATAAAGCCTATGTTACAGAAGAGGCAACATCAAACAAGTTACATGTTTCCTAACAATGAAAAAAAAAACCTCAGGGTAGAAAAAAAGCTAAAATAAGTTTAAAGGTGTTATCTTGCTCATTGTTCTGACACAGAGGCGGTGCCTCCAGACAAGGGAAGCACAGACCTACTACTCGTCTGT